CCCCTCCCCCNAATGGAGGTAGGGGCTATGAAAAGGATTTGCGATTTTTGAGTTTGGTTTCCTGGTGAAAAAGATGAATGATAGAGCGAACATTATTTATATGATTCTGTGTTCAGGTTGGGGTGGAGAAGATTGAATCAAGGAAGCGCGATTTTTTTTTCTAGTTGCGTCAATTGAGGAGGACAAACTCGCGAAGAAATCGCGAATCGCAGGATGATATGCTGTTGTTGAAGCTATCAAATTAATATTACTTTTGAAGGAAACTTCAGTATTGCCAAGTAGTATTCAAGAAAGTAGATAGGGTTAAAGTAACCCTGAGTCGTCTCCCAGCCAATACGGAATTGCTTTTCAATATTTGAATCTTATGAATGCAATGCAATGCTCAAGAATAAAAGTGAGAAACTATGCTAATAGAATTAATGTTTGAAGAATGTTTGAAGAACAAAGAAGAAACTTATAAACAATTATGATGAGATAGGCTAACTCCACTGCTTTTCCAAGATAGATTCATCATCGGTTATCCACAGATCATTGTTTAATTGATTATTGTTCAAGTTTCAAATTAATTAAAGTACATTCTTAATTAATTTGAGGGCGATCATGCAGTTAACCAAAGTAGATTCTCAATCAAATGCAAGACCTTTCTAGATTATTCACAATGAATTTAACCAAAGTACATTCTCAATTAAATTCTATTATGCTTAATCATGTCTATTCTTAAATCTCCTAACCAAATTAATAGCTAATTAATCAAAGTAAATTCAAAATTAATTATAGTTGAATTATTACCACCAATCAAAGTACATTCTCAATTGATAGCAAAAACTCGTTTAATCATATGAAAGTTCCTAAATTTAATCAAAGTAGATTCTCAACCAAACCTAGAAACCCTTGAACTTGTATGATTAATATGCATGTAGATTCAAACACCTTATGATGCAAAAATCATTGCTATTAATATGATTGAGAGATGAAAGACATAGAAAGAGAGCAACTCAAATCAATAATAAAAAAAAATTTCCATTAATTCAACTTAACCTCAGAATCCACAATGAAATTACAGTAGAATAGCCCTAGAAGCTTAGCCCTCCATGGATGGAGTAGAATACATGGCAAAATAAAAGTGAGAGGAGTGGTGGATGAATGAGTTATGATTTATGTCTCCCTTAGGTCTCTTTATATAGGCTTTATTGGGCTTGGACTCTGAATCTTTTGTTGATAAATTCTTTTATCTTATATCTAATATATTTCAAATATTCAACAAATTTAATCAGTTTTTGAGAATATTTGATAATATCTTTTCTAGATTTAAAAAGATTTGATAAATATTATCTTTTGATTCTTATTAATATAGTTAAATAAGGTAATTATTTAACAATATCAAATAAAATATCTTAAGATATATTTTCTCCAAATTATCTTTTAAAATATCTAGCAGGTTTAAACTTACCCAAAATTAAATTTCAACACTTTTTATTTTATTCAAAATTGCACAAAAGTCCACAAATTTCCTCTAATTGCACTTTAGTAATCTCTTTCTTTTCGAAATTGCATATAAGTCCTGCATTGACCAGATCATACCAGCTTTGACCATTCAATTTCATGCTTTAAATGAATAAAATTCTAACTTCAGCTGCACAAATAAACATTAGAATATCCAAAATAGTTTATGCAACTAAGAATCACATTTTAAGCATCTTTAATTTTCAAACCCAATAAATCCAATAGTCACAAATTCACTTTAATCAAGCATTTAAGCACAATAATATCATCAAAAATTTGAATTTTAAAACATAAATGTGGGCATAAATATGCATTCATCACAACGGTGTCGTTCTGAGTTCTTTTATGGTGGTCCGGTTGCGGAGCGGAAAGCAAAAGCATCATTGCCATTCAAAAATTGCAACCTTGGGGTTCTATAAAATTGGGTTTTTGAAATTGGGAAATCTTGGGTCTCTGTTTTAATCTCGGGTTGAGATTTTGTGCTTCTCTACAGGCTAGGGCTCAAATTGAAGCTACTGTTTATCGCGCTTCACACACGTTGAGCAGTGAAAAGGATGACTTTGACGATTGTTGTGTTTGGGGTTTTCCTATTCTTGTGATTCAATTTTGTAATTTAGGGTTCGTCTCTTGAATTGAGGGTTCTGGTTTGAATCTGATTCCTTTTTTTTTCTATGGTTGCGCGAGTGATGTGAAGGAGGGCGTGGATGGAGGTGGCCATGCGTGTAACGACTACTGGTGTTGGTAGCTCTGACAAATATTGTCCCCCGTACCGCTTTGGTTCAGTACGAACCGAGGCCTAAAGTTTGAAAAAAAAAATACGCTACTAGTTTGGTTATCTAAGAACCGAGGCATAATCCTACCCCCTTTTGCCTTGGTTCATAATCAAGGAAAAAAGCCTACCCTTTTTACCTCGCCTGTATATGCCTCGGTTGCAAAATCGCTACCTATAAACAAAAATAACCGCTGTTGTTTCTCCTTACTGTTGCACTAGTGGGAGTGTCCATAAATCCTCTCCAATATGAAGGCAGGACATGTGGCCACTAACTTTTAGAAATCCTCCCCATTCATAGAGTGTCATATGACCACTACTAAAGTTAAATCCTCTCAAATGGAAGTATGACACATGACACATACTTTTCACATGGTTTGGATGACTAGCTTAAGGAAGAACTCTACACTAATTAGGCCTTAATACAAGCCTAACAAACCTACATTATTTGGCCGAAATACATGACTTAAATAAATCCTACTCTAAGGAGCTCCATGATGGCCTAAGAGAGGCCCATCTTGCATAGAGGACTTCAACTCTTCTTGAAAGTGCTTGGCCATGGTTAAGAGTATGCCTTCACTAGAATACTCAACTAGGAGTGAGTTATACTTGGTGTCAGGAGTGACTAGAATACTCAACAAGAAGTGGGTTAACTTGTTGTATATTTAAAAGATTAATGGAATCTCTTAAGAATTTTTAAGAGAAAACTGGACGTAGCTCAAATTTGAGTAAACCAGTATAAATATTATGCCTTAATGTTTTATTCGTTTAAACTATTATGTCATTGTCTGAAAAGTTTATATTTGTTGATACACTATGTTTAAACACTCTGTCCCCCTCCCCCTCCTTCCTCCAGTATTTTCTTGTATACTTCATTTTATACTTAAATTCTCTATTTATATTTTTTTTCCCTTTTTCTAACAATTAAACAACAAATAAAATAGAACAAAAAATTACATAAATAAAGTAACTCCCTTAAAATCACCCACGTTATACCATATTACTCATTCTTTCCATGTTTTACAATAGTTATTATGAATAACTTCTTTCTCGATCTAGTTTTAGTCTTTGTCTGAATTGCACTTTTCTCAATGTCTTATACGTCTTGATCACACTTTTTTTTAAGTGTCTTCTTTGTCTCGATTAGACCTTTTTCGACCTCAATAGCATTTTCTTTTGATTTCCCTTGTGTTTCTTTTGTATCAATTTTTGTATCAATTTGTGATTGATGAAGCAAGTGGTATTTTTTGGAAGATGAGTTAAAAAAATCAATTTTTATATCAATTTGTTATTATGAAGCAAGGACCAAGTGGCATCCAGAAATGTGAAGATGAAAACGAGAATAGTTGTATCATTATTTTCTACCTACTATTTAAAAGCAATCAATATTGGAAGATATGTTGTGCCTTCCTATTAAATCGAGAATTGAAATTAAAAGTTTTATTGGTAGCTTTAAATAATGGCAGTGGAAGCACGTTACTTCCATTCTGTGCTTTTCTCTGCCTCAACCTACCATCAACGAAGAAACAACTAAATCACACTCTTTTCAACCGTTGTTTTTTTTCCCTGTACGTCGATGTTTTTGGATTACATCTAAACAATTGCAAAAAATGTTTTGCAGAAGTTGCTTTAATTCGTTGGAAAACAGTCCTAATTTGAAACATTACGAAATTAACATATTCCAACATCTTTTACATTTGAAAACAACTAATTTGTGATATAATTAAAATTGGAAATTTGTTTTTTTATATTTCCGAATATAAGCATCTCGAAATTGGATGTTTAGAACTTGTACTTTTGATGAGTTGATTAAGATTATATGCCATACTGTCTTGATATCCACTTTTCAACGTAAAGCTTAAAATGGATGGTGCTTCATTTTGATTAGTTAAGGATATTTGGAAGAGTTTAAAAAACTAATTTAAATTTATTTTATCAAGATTTTAGATGTCTCATAACAGTTTATAGCAGTTGTTTATGACTTTCTTATAAGTTTTTATTTGGCTTGACAAAATTTACTATAATTGACGATAGCGAGTATCTTTAATAAATTGGTCACATTGATTGCTAAAACTTAGATCTGAAAACCTAAAAAGGGTTTATTTTTACGACTTTAAACTTTTTTTCTAAATTCAATTAAGTATCATATTGAAAGTTCACAAAATAAATTTAAGTGTCGTTTAGGACCACTGATTTTCAGAAATAAATGAAGCCCCTATTTCTGCTATACATATTAGTCAACTGTAATGATAAACTGATTTCTAAGTTATTGTAAAACTACTAAGTAGTTAGCTTATTAAATTTTAAAAAATATTTAGTAAAATTAGTGGTCGAACAAACTGATAAAATGTTAATTAACATAAGATGACATGTTTGTTTGATATTTGTTTACCACATAAAATAATTATTTTAGGTATTTGTCTAGTATTTTATGTATTACGAGATGGCATATATGTTTACCATTTTAGGTATTATAATATGAGATAAATTTATTCATTAAACCCTGAATTCGTAGCAAACATAGTCAAACTTAAGAACCCTCTTAATTAGCACAGGAGGGAAAGAGCCATATGCAGTCATCACAAACAACATGAAGTGATCCATTCGGATATTTTATCAAGGACGCACGCACATAGCAGTTTACTTCTTCTTTTAATCATAATTTTTTAATCCAGTGCTTCAAAAATTATGAATAACATCATTATCTGACATCTTCAACGCAGCATGATCCATGAAACACTTTATATTTTTTTCGTTTCTGCAAAACTTAAATTATCTCCACTTGCTTCCGTCTATGTGATATGCATTGACTTTAGTACCATTTCTATATACAAAAATGTTCTTTATAATATTCTATTGCAGTTGATCTTTGATCCATGCCGTAGTACCATTTGTACGGTTAATTTTATAGTGATAACATCAATCCTTGTCACGACAAAAATTGTTATGCAGTCACTTTAGTTGGTGTTCTTCATCAATCGTGGAATTATTTTATCACGGTGCACTTCTTTACTGCTAATAATTAAAGAAAACATGGTCTATTTAAAGAATCGTTGAGGATAGAAGTGAGTGACATGTTTGAGAAAGACAACCACAATGGCAATTACTTCACTGACTCTTTTCAAAATGACCTTTGTTTTCTTCATTCTCTTCACTCTTCTCACACCTAAAGCCATGGCTGATTGTGAAGCTCAATCAGCAAACACATGCAACAACAAAGAGAAAGCGCTGTCACTAAAAGTTATAGCCATATTCACTATCTTAGTCTCTAGCATAATCGGTGTGACACTACCTTTAGTGACACGTTCAATTCCAGCTTTGAGTCCTGAAAACGATCTCTTCATAATCGTGAAGTGCTTCGCAGCTGGTATAATTCTTGGAACGGGCTTCATGCACGTGCTTCCCGATTCCTTTGACATGTTGTGGTCTGATTGCTTGAAGGAGAAACCGTGGCACGAGTTTCCATTTTCGGGGCTCGTGGCTATGTTTTCTGCCTTAATAACGATGATGGTGGATTCTTTGGCTACTAGTGTTTACACCAAGAGGAGTAAGACTGAGATTATTCCCGCTGAGAGCAGCCCTGCAGGTGGTGGAGACCAAGAGATGGGTGGTGTTGTTAACTTTGGCCACTTCCATGGCCACCACCACCACCACCATGAGAACAATACAGAAGGCCAAGAATCACAGCTTGTGCGTTATCGTGTTGTTGCCATGGTAAGATTGTTTCTTTCATGCAAAGTTAAAAAACACGCTTTTGTTACTCGCTATTTCTCTCAGTTTTGTCATCAGAAATTACTAAACAAGAACATGATGGTTCTAGATCATATAATATTTCTTTTGAACCGTTTTCATCATCCATAATTTTAGTTAGACAGTGATTTGCTATAGATATTTATTAAATATTTTTTAAAAATTAGATTAGTTGAAATGAATTTGTCTGTGTTGAATTGTTCCTAAAATAGAAGAAGTAAACAAGTAAATATTTTTAAAAATTAGATTAGTTGAACCGTTTTCATCATGGCATCTATTTGAACTCATCCGAATCGACATTAAGTCTACCCATTTTTTTAATCATTATATATCATTAAATTGTAAAATAGAAGAAGTAAACAAGTAATTTTTTTTTTTGTAATATGTATTTTGAAATAAATAACAAAATGTTTTATCATTAATATATAATTATTAAAAAAAAAGGACACTAAACAACTAAAAATAATTCAAATTAATTGGTTTTCAAAATGCATCAAAGTCTATTTATATAATTGTTCAAATCAAACTTAGTTACACTAGATTATAGGATGATGCGTGGCGTTATGCTCACCCACATGCTGTTAAGAAAAGGACTTACAAATGAATCCAGTGTTTTTAAGAGTTTGAATAGATGATGTCAAGTATTTATATAAATTGATTCATGATTCATCAACTTCAAATTTTTCTTAAGTTCAACTTTCTCCTCTTAAAAGTCTTTTTACATATTTGGAACAAATTTGTTCCGATATTACAAAATTGAATAAGTTAAAAAGAAAATTACTCGTTATGGAGTAAGCCACCTCAACTCATAATCACTTCAAAATCAAAATTGTGAAAACTCTGTACAACTTTTTATAAATATTTGAAAAAATAAAATCGTCAAATACTACAGCAATCCAGCTCATAATTTAAACAGGTGAATATATAATTTAGTATTATCTTAAGCAAATGAACATTGGAAACGCAGGTATTAGAACTTGGAATTGTGGTTCATTCAGTGGTTATAGGACTTGGCGTGGGAGCCTCAAACAACACATGCACCATAAAAGGTCTAATAGCTGCGCTTTGCTTCCATCAAATGTTTGAAGGCATGGGTCTTGGAGGGAGCATTCTGCAGGTATATATATATATATATATATATACCAAAAAGAACATGCATCATTAAATTTTCCTTTTCTATGTTGATGAAACTAACCCTTCAAACTTTGAACAGGCCCAGTACAAGTTCTTAAAGAAGACCATCATGGTGTTTTTCTTCTCCGTGACAACCCCATTTGGAATTGCCCTTGGAATTGCATTGTCGACGACTTATAGAGAAAACAGTCCAAGTGCACTCATCACTGTGGGGTTGCTGAACGCTTCTTCTGCTGGTCTTTTGATCTACATGGCTTTGGTTGACCTTCTTTCTGCTGATTTCATGAGCCCTAGATTGCAGGGTAGTGTCAAACTTCAATTGAAATCTTACTTAGCAGTGTTTTTGGGTGCTGGTGGCATGTCTCTCATGGCAAAATGGGCTTAGTTTTCTCTTATATCTAGTTTGAGGAATAATAACATCTTCAAAGTTTTAATTTTTTACGTGTTCCATTAAAATTGGAGGTTTATCCATAGTCACTGTTCACGTTTACTCTCAAAACTCAATACTTTGTGTAAACTACATTTTCTGCATTAAATAATGTATGTTGTCTTTCCACTCTTGTATACTATTGCGTATTCCCAATACTCTATTTAGTATCTTCCAAGTATAAAACAAAAATGAAATAAAAAAAAAGTGTAAAAGCATTTAATATACCATTTTTTGTCCATTAACTCGTTTATTATTATTATTTTTAATAAGTGTGAAAAGCCTTTCTACATAACGCAGAAAAAAACTAAACTACTGTATAAAAGACTTTCTATATCAGTAAAAAAGTTTTTTATACTAATTTTAGATTTAGTATAAATATAGGTGTATTAGAAGTTTTTACTTTCTATACCACTTTTAGAATCCGTGGAGAAAGTATCACTTTTTACATCGGTTAAACCAACAACTAATATATAAAATATTTTACACATTTGAAATGTTTTCCTCCTTTATTTGTCTTGTTCTCATCACTCATGTCCAAGGCATATCTAATGTAGCCTTCCCCCTTCAACGTGTGAGACTACCTGATCGTTGATTTGATTGAAAAAGGTGTTCTATTCTCTTAGACCAATGCATCTGCTAGAACCCAAACCAAACACAAGAAGAAATTAAAACAAAGATGTAGAGGTAGAATTTCTCACAATGGAACGATGAAGACGAATAAATGTGGTAGAGAAGTAGCTTCGTGATGCAGTGACTAAGGGTGGTGGTGAAGAGGCCAACTTGCATCATGGTTAATAATAAATAAAGAACACAGTTTCATGCATATCACGGTGCATATCACGGTGCATATCACGTTGCAGTGCTTTATCTTTTCGTACTTTGATACACAATGAAGTCACAAGTAACTTAGGAGTTACTTTCGCGTTCCCTAGCTCTAGCTTATGCAGAGATTCGATTCCCTAAACTTTACTTGACACAACCAGCATAACACAGGAAAGATTCCTACCAATATAGTGTGAGCAATTGAATTTGAAAACGTTCGACCAGCGAAGACCCATTAATAACCCAATGTAGTTGGTATTTGGTTGGTTTGTGTATTAACTTTGAGTGGTTCATCTATTAACTTTGAGGCAGAAGGAGCTCATCTCATTAGTGTAGTGTGTTGCTGAAGTCTTGTGTGTTGAGTGTAGTGAAGACAAAGCTCACATCAGGTTAGTAACTTTTTTTGTGAAGGTTTTTCTTCTTTTGCAGCTTGGATGCATGTTGGTTGAAGATAAAGACCAAGAATGGAGGTTGGTCTATGGTTGATGCGTCGAGGTTGATGGTTGATGCTACCATATTGAAGATGAAGCTGAAGAACAGAGAGCTTGAAGATAAATAAGATGAAGAAGAGAGCTTGAAGGAGGTTGAAGAAGACCATGTATTCGGTTCTTCACGCCATGTATTTGGTTCCACCTTAACCGTATTCAGTTTCACTCCATAGAACAAATGAACATGATGTTGTATTTTGTTCTCTGTGATGCTATATTCGATTCCACCAAGGCGCGAATTTGGTTCCAAGCTTCACGGATTCAGTTCCAAGCTTCGTGTTGCACGTGTAGGGCACTTTGATCCATGACAAAGTTGGACGAGGACTCAGAGAGATCCATCCGAAAGTCCATAGACCAGCCCGAGAGTCTATGCAGTAGTGGGAGTACATGGAGGTCATTGTAATGGCAGCACCCCTAACCCTTTGTTTATGTTGCAGGTGTCACGAAGGAGAAGGTGGCTTTGGTTATACATGAAAGTGATGTGTTTTTGGGAAGGGGAACTCATTGTGAAGGTGGTGGACCTTCATCATGTAACCATGAAGGAGTGTGCTGGTGTTGTGCGTTGAAATAGAAGCCTTGCTAACAACTTTTTGGTCTTACATGTGTTAGGAAGGAGGAGGGTGGCTTCTAAAGGTGGTGGAGGTGTGCGAAGCAGGTTGTTTAGGTGCTTTATGTGGGTATAGTTCCTTGGTGCATTTGTGGTGCAGCTGTGAAGGAGAGCCAAGGTGGTAGAGGTTCATCTCAGCTTGAAGCATTCTTTCATATAACATTGTTAGCAACTTTGGTTTGTTATCCTGAGTCTTTTCTTCCAAAATTCACATTTAAAATTAGCCATCAAGAATTTGAACATAATTTCTGATAACTATGGAAGGTATATTATGCACAGGATGAGGTACTAACTGTATCCTAAATTGCAATGTGTTTTGAGATGGTCTAATTCTATGAATGATTCAACTTGTTGTTTTTGAAGAAATTAGCTGGTTTGAAGTGGTAAAATATTTACCTACTTGTTTTCAAAATATTTTTATTTTTTAGTAAAATGAATGGCAGTGCTCTGCTTTCAAGCCTATGTAGCTCAACAATTTTATTGCTAGATCATTTATACTATTTCGTGGTAGATGTAGTTTAGATAGAATTTCATATCGGAGTGAATGATGGAGGCATCTAATTGCATTATACAATTTCTCCTAGGGCATTGCATTGGAGGTTTTGTCTCTTTTGGTGTGACTTCTGTGGTTGTGTTTTGCAAACTATTGGTTGAGTCTTCATTGAAAGCTTGTTAAGTCTTCAAGAGGTATGTCAAATACTTTTTTAATCAGAATATGAAAGAATGAAGTAATAAATGTATGTTGAATGTATTATACATGACTTAATTATAATGTTTATGTTAATTGGACCTATAAAGGTTTTAAAATGTTAATTGAACTTATTTATGTCATTGCGATGTTGGTAACACAAAATGTAGGATACGAAACCAATGTAGGGACAGGTTTAACATATTGAAGATAATTTGACTAACTTATTTCTAGACATGAACCGATAATTCGCTAACATCAATCATAATGTTAACTTAATTATGCACCATTTAGATGATTAAGTTCTATAATATTCTATGACTATATGATAAATGCAAAAAAGTAGTAAATTTTCATATAGAATTTTGGCACTTTTATGTTAAATTGGGTACATTTGTATCAATTTTCCCCAATCTAAGAAAGACGAAATGTAATCACATGTTTCTGAGTTATTGATTAAAAGGAAATAATTTGATCCTTATTTTGTATATATTTCAGGTAAATTAAGAGAGAAGAGTAAATCCTGCAACATTTTGCCTAAGCTAGAATGATCTCGCTTAAGTTAGATTCATCCAGGAAGCCATTGATTTTAAAGTCATTTTCGCTTAAGCGAGAATAATTTAGCTTAAGCGAGAATGACTATCTTCTCCAAGAAGTTTCTTCTCGCTTAAGCGAGAATAATTTATCTTAAGCGAGAATTCGGGCAGTATATATACTCATGAGTTAGAAAGAGAGACAGAGAGCGCGTAGAAAAGAAGACACAGAGCTACCCAAAGGGTTTTTCTTCCACTTTAGCTGTAGGATCTTCTTCTTCATCTCTTAGAATGTTAATGGCCACCATGAGTGGCTGATCTTCTCTTGGGATTGAATGTAATCAATTCGAACTCGGATGTAATCTGGTGATATTTATATATAGCATTTCTGTTTTATTCAATATTGGTATTTTTGTTCTGCTCTTAGTGCTTGGTTCTATCTGATCAATAGTTTCATGAATGTGGGTTTTAGATTTGACTGGAAAGTATTTCTAAAATCTGATCTGAACAAGAATACTTGATATCCTGTGATGCTAGGGATATATTTCAGTTTATCAATTGCTTTTAACACTTGAATATAATTCTGGATAGTTTGTTGGATATGTGAGGAATCAATATTTTGTGTTGCATCAATATTGGTAATTTCAGTTGCTATATGTTTATATTCATTCAGATTGTAGACGAGTGAGATAGATGAATTCAATCCCAACTTCTCGTATTAAACTTTCTTTAACTTATCTGCTGTTAATATTTTACTTTTACGAAATGTAGTATAAATTATCAAAATTCATTATGAATCAGTTTGAATACCCTTGTATATATGTTGTTTGAGATAAATTTATCTATTTAATTGAAGTTGTTCCTCGTG